CTATGATGGGTTATGAGATCTCTTACGACAAGTACTATGAGTTCAAACTGGATATTGACAAAGTTCTCAAGGACAATGAACACCTTGGCGCAGAAAATTTCTTTGGAGCAGAGGATCCTCAGATGGTGGACGATGATCCAGACACTCCACTTCCAGATCTTCAAAGACCAGGCGCAGGGTGATCCTGAGTACAAGCATACCATTGAAAGTTTGAACATTGAAGACAAACATATCATTTTGGAAACTGATGATGACAAATTGGTTGAGTGTACATTGAAATGGATCAGTATGTGCAATCAGAATGTTCAACGAAAGATCAAGGAAAGTTTTGTCAAACCAGAAGAAGGACAAGAGAAAGAAAAGGATGAAGAAGAGGAGATTGCTGTCGAAGAAAAAGAAGAAGAAAAAGACACACAGGAGCCACATGTTCCAGCTGAAGGCTCTTCAGAGAAAGAGGAATCAGCTCCACCTGAACGCTCCTCAGAAAAGGAGGAATCAGGGGAGAAGAAAGACAGACATTCAAGATGATGAGACAGCTCCTGAAGTGAAACCTGCAGTTCGACTTTACTATGGTCAAGATATCACTGGAAACGAAGATGATTCAGTTTTTCGAAAATTGAAGGATTGTTTTTCAGATGGTTACCATGGTGAATGGGCAGGATTTTACAACAAAGGTTATCCAGCGTCTTCGAAGCATCGACATATGTTTTGGCATGTTAAGTACAGGAAGACCATGTCTCCACATCATGATTTTTGGTACCATCTTACAGATGACCAGTTGATGGTTGAGTACATTGCCAGACACAAGAATCAGGATCCACAACTAGAATTACAAGAACTTAATCAGCGCATTGAATATGGTTGTAGTGATCCAAGGATGCATCCTCTTCATCAAGACAAAGCAGAAAGATCCTCAAAAGAAGCAGAAAAGAGGATTGATGACGATTTTGGAAATCTCACAAGGGTACTCCAAGATTACGTTGAGGACCACAAGGTCTTGCCTTACTGTATGATCTTGCATAGCTTGGCTTACAGGTATTTAGGTGGAGGCCTATCAGACCCAACGTACAAGGATGCTGAATTTTCATACAGATCCTCTCCACAGATAACAGCAATGTTTTGGAATTTGGGAAACTGGTGCAGAAACAGATTTGAAAAATGCCCGGTTCCAGAAAGATTTCAACAATTCATTCCACACATTGACTACACTATCGATGAGGATCATGAAAAATTTGATGAAACCAAATCACAGTTCAACAATTACTTCATCAATGTCATCAAGAACTTTGGAGGACATCTTTTCATGAATTGCGAGGCTGGTTCGTTGTATCCTCACAGAGAAAGACTCGACGAGGTTGACTTTAAAACTTGCTTCAATGACTATCATGACTTGATGGTGGCAGCTCGCCTTGGAAAGGATGGCTATATCAAGCAAATTGCTGGATATCACACAGATGACAACGACACACGAGTTCGACAAGTCTCATGGGCAATCTTTGAAGTATCTTGGGGAAAGACAAAGGATCGAGATACAGATGAGATTGTTGACTTGACAAGAGCTAGGATGAGAATGACACGTGTGTGCGTTTATCACGTCGGACAGAAGTATGCATCAGACTCTGCTGGGATTGTTGGTGAGAGCTTAGCTGTTATGGCTTTTGAGTGTGCCAGATATCAAGTTGACTTCATCGCAGGTGATGGAAACAAGGCATGCTATTACAGCACACCAAAATCTCCAGGTGTCCCTACATATCAACACAGCCTTATCCAATTCTGGATTAACAGAATGGTAGGGGTTGCAACACAAGCCATGCGCAAGAATTTTGATCCAACTTGCCCTCCAATCAGGGTCAAGCATTTCATTTCTTGCAGTTATCGTGACTTGGATTTTCTTGCAACGCACTTGGATGGCATTACAACAGCAACATACACCGACGAGCTCATGAACAAGACAAATGGTAAAGGTGATTGTTGTATGTTAACAGTTGTTGAGTGGGGTCATTCACGTTTGATGTGTGAGGAACACCCAGAAGACTTTGAGGATGAAGATCACATGAACTATGTGGGTGAATTTTACTTCAAGGTAAATGAAACTTGCTTACATGGTGATCACAACATCTTCATGGTTGCTCCAAATGATCGCGATGCTCATAATCCAATTCTTATCCATCTTGATCCTTCTGATATGTCATGGAATGAACGACATCATTACAAACAGGCCTACAAGAAGAAGCAGTATGCTGATTCAAGAAAGGAAAGACAGAAGGAGAAAAAGAGAAAGGCATATGAAGATCAAGCATCGACGTATCAGGGCAACACAGAGTGGGGTGGATCCTCATCTTCAGCGTCCAGACCATGGAGATCAAGTGAGTGGCGATGAGTGAGTGTACACTTCTTTAATTGAAGATAACACAGCATGAGAAGCCGTGTACAGTTTTTCTGTGCGTTCAACTTATTTCACACAGATGGCATATACTCTTTTAGATAGAGATAATGCCACAAGTGTCTGAACTTCAATTTAATGTAAAATAGAGACTCTTGTAAATAGAGATACTATATACATTTATCTCCATGAATCATCCGGCGAGCAGACCACTCCGAATGGAGCGAACTTCAAAAATTTACCAACTTCGATTTCAGTCCATTGTTTGCTTGAATGAGCAACTTTGGAGATCCGCTATTTCCGTTTATTTCGTGATTTGGTCAATTGTTTTCGTATGACCTGAATTTCTGAATCTTGCGAACCCGAACTTTTCAATTCGAACTTTCACCGGTAGAGCAAGGCATTTTGCCTATGGAGAGACCGTGCGCGAAGCACCATTGGTCGCTACTGGAAAAATTAGCGAATCCGCTGTTCTTTTTCGACATGTCCTTAGGACATTCGCTGCTTTCACGTGTTTTTCAATTCGAAGCCACTGCGTAACTCCGGTTTCTTTTGCTATTTGCCATTGTGTAGAGAAGTCAGGAAGATACTCTTAATACCAATTGGGTACGGCAAGGCGTAGTGCTCTACTCATTGCTTTTGAATTTGTGCCTGTGTTTTTGTTTCGACCTAATACCTACATAGGTACATGCATGAGTATTGAGCACATTTATATGCGCCCTTCAAGGCTCAAGAGGTATATAGAGTAACCCTGTAGACAAGCACTGACCGGCAACAGGCTGAGAGTAAAAGAGTGCTGTCATTGGGGAAGACGCCTTAGCTGATCTTGAAGTAGACGCTAGGGCCCCTCTTCAGCCCTCCCCCCTGCACCCCCCCACCCGCTTTTATTTTTTAACCGGTTCCCCTTGCTACCTACTATTCCTTTCTTTTTGCATAAGCATCATCGTTTATTTGGGTTAATTTCATCTTTGCTGATATCCATCGAGACTTGTGCCTATGTGCTTCTTTCTTGATCTTGTCGTTCTTACTTGCAATATATCCATTGAGACTTGTGCCTATGTGCTTCTCTCTTGGTACGCATTGCGGGGGGAGGCGCTGCGCCCTCCCCCCTGCACCCCCCCACCCGCTTTTATTTTTAAACCGGTTCCCCTTGCTACCTACTAGTCCTTTCTTTTTTCCTGCTGCTACTACTGCTACTACTATTGCTGCTACTACTACTACTACTACTACTACTAGTACTACTACTACTACTACTACTACTACTACTACTACTACTACTACCTACTACCTACTACCTACTACCTACTACCTACTACCTACTACCTACTACCTACTACCTACTACTACTACTACCTACTACTACTACTACTACTACTACTACTACTACTACTACTAACTACTAACTACTAACTACTAACTACTAACTACTAACTACTAACTACTACTAACTACTAACTACTAACTACTAACTACTAACTACTAACTACTAACTACTAACTACTAACTACTAACTACTAAGTACTAAGTACTAAGTACTAAGTACTAAGTACTAAGTACTAAGTACTAAGTACTAAGTACTAAGTACTAAGTACTAAGTACTAAGTACTAAGTACTAAGTACTAAGTACTAAGTACTAAGTACTAAGTACCAAGTACTAAGTACTAAGTACTAAGTACTAAGTACCAAGTACGAAGTACGAAGTACGAACTACTAACTACTAAGTACTAAGTACTAAGTACTAACTACTAACTACTAACTACTAACTACTACTACTCCTACTCCTCCTCCTACTACTGCTACTACTCCTCCTCCTCCTCCTACTACTACTACTACTACGACTACGACTACGACTACGACTACGACTACGACTACGACTACGACGACGACGACTACTACTACCACTACGACTACGACTACGACTACTACTACTGCTACTGCTGCTGCTGCTGCTACTGCTGCTAGTGCTAGTAGTAGTAGTAGTAGTAGTACTACTACTACTACTACTATTACTACTACTACTACTACTGCTACTACTACTACTACTACTCCTCCTCCTACTACTACTATGATATTTTTTTTTGATACGGATATTTTTTTTGATCTAGGTTTGCAGCACGAAACCCGTGAGGTCTCACACAGTGGCACCTGGATATTTTTTTTGATGCATATATATTTTTTTTTGATGCGTGCTGGATATATTTTTTGATGCATTTTTATTTTTATTTGGATACGTGTCTCGAACGAGATCCTCATGAATTGCCGGACAAAGCTGCCACAAATAGATGGCTGACGGGAAAAGACTCAAGCCTTTTGCGGTCACATTGCATTTATGATAGGGATGAATCTCCTTGTAAGAGCTAACTTGTTTTTTTGATTGTTTTTGTTTGAAGAGCTGATTTGCTAGGGTTTCATCAATGTGCTGTGGTGTTACAAGCGCCATGGTGGTTACAAAGAAATGCTATGCCTTCCAGATGTCTTAAACAGCAGTATCTTGGATGTGTTTCAAAATGATCCTTATCCGGGGCTTTTGTGTTTCGAAATGATCCTTATCCTCTGTGTTTCAAAATGAGCCTTATCCGGTGTTTCAAAATGATCCGGGTCCCGTTACGTGCTGCGCATGATCCAGTTGGCTTCAGCCTCTCTCCGGAGGTTTGGGCCATCCACGCCTTCGACTTCGTTCTGCCCCCCAAACAGCCCGATTGCTGAGTACAAGCCCGACATTGGCGGCTGGCGTTGGAACTGTGATATGTGTTGCCAAGAAGAGCACCTTGACCACCACCTTCACCATGCATGACTTGGTTTCCGAAACGTTATGAACTGGTTTTCCAAGTCTTTGAAAAGGTCAACTGAGCACTTGGGAAAGCAGCACAGCCGTGTGGCTTCCAGGAGTTTTGCATTTTGTAATGAGCATTTTGAGTGACTCTGTTGACTAAGTTCAATACCTTAAAGATCCTTGCATGTTCCATACAGTTGTTGCAGCTTCAAGGCAGTATTTGGCATGTTTGCGCCAAGCAAAAGTGCGATGTATGATGCCATGCAAATTCCAGCTGACTTCAACAAACAGCCTGTATCCTAAACAGCACTCCTGAATTTGTTCTACAAGAAAACACGCCATGGCATGCTTGCACAAGTTCAATATGTTCAGGAAGTGTTTCATGCATCTAGCCTCACAAGTTAACAAGGCCTGGTGTAAACTTTCAAATCTTTCATGTCAGCATCCCTGTGAGAGGGTGGACACCAAGGAGTGCCAAGAAGATCGAAGAGTGAGAGGGTACAGACGGTACAGACCATGGAAAGACCGCTGTTGGATAACCTTGTCACCTCCGGAGTCAAGGCTGGTAGCCAGGTTTCAAGATGCTTCACGATGTTTCAAGCCTCGTTGCCAGAGGCTACAGCCTCTGGTGGCCCCTGTGACACACCGAAACACTCTGTTCAGCTTTGTTCAGTCTGTTCAATTGCTGGGTGTATTGGGTGGGTGGTACGTTTGTGTTGCGAAAAGTCATTCGACAATCATTCTCTTTGTGAGACTGTGACATATGCGCATTCCGCCCTCATCTCAACATGGTCTCAACTGTGAAGGATTTGTCAACATTTACATCATCATTCATTATTCATTATTATTAACAGGCTTTATTTACATATGCATAATTAGGTATCATGATATTGATATAATAAACAAGAATATATAAACAATAAATTCTGTAATCATCCGATCGGAAGTCCGTGATCGAGCGAGGCCTTGCAGGCCGCAGAGCTTAATCGAGTGAAGTCTGCATCAGAGACCCCCAGCGAGGCAAACGGCAACTGGGGTGGAGAACCCCGCGATCCTTGGCCAAAACGATTGGAAAGCGCGGTGCAGCTGTGTAACGATGTGAATCTTTGCCGGTCTCAAGAGTTCTCAAATGAAACAATTTTTTGCCATAGCTACGTGCTGTTGACTTTATACGTTTGTTGATTTTGCAGCTTGGTGGACTCTGTAGTCGAGTCTGAGTGGCCGTTCCCTGGTGGGCCTCCGTGGGCCTCCGTGGGCCTCCGTGGGCCTCGGCGACCCAGGAGTGGGCCAACTCCAATTCAGTCACACAGCAGATCTCCGTTTTGTCCCAGATGGGGCCTCTCGCGCAAGCGAAGCAATTCATTGCGGACAGATTGGCTGGAGACTACGACAGGGAAAGGATCTCCAATCTCATTGACAGTAAGATCAACAGCAACAAGTGCTTTGGCTGAATTGGATTGGAAGTCATGAATCATAATATATCATAACATTTAGAACAGATTGTGCCGAAGGTCGGCAAGATTTCATGCGAACCCAAATCGAGGATTATGATGTTCTCTTTCTCCACCTGTCCGTTTTGCCTGCGAGCAAAGCAAATCCTGGAAGAAGACTATGGCGAGCAGATCGAAGTGTACGAATGTGACTTGGAATCTGCATTTCGGCAGCATTCGGCAGCAATGTGTTTTAAGTTTTACACGTCTGTCGGACACAGCCAAAACGAGATTGACATGCCATTCTTGCCTCTGGAAATTCTGATGGAAGGAGTTTTGAGGTATTGATCTTGTTGTATTGCGTTGTTGTGAGTCCCTGACATGTGAACAATTGATGAACATTGACCGTCCAGGGTTTGATATGTTTTGATATGTTTTGATATGTTTTGATATGTTTTGATATGTTTTGATTGCAGGTTGATCTTAAAGGTTAAAGTGATTTAAAGTGACTACAGTATACTAAAGTGATCTAAAGTGACATTTCCGTGGCTTGGATAAGGACGGCTATGCAGTTCGAGCGGAGCTTGGACGGCGCACTGGCCGCACTTCCATGCCTTCAACTTGGCTTGGCCCGGAAACGCTTCTGGGTGGTTGCAACGATGGAGGTCTAGGCCCAGTCACGAGTGAACGAGTCATGTCGCTGTCAATTTCTACGTCAAATTCTGTAAGCTGCTGGGCCTTGCAGAAACCGTGTGGCTGTCAGATGCTTTCAGATGCTTTCAGATGCTTTCAGGAGGTGTGGCTACACTGGACAAAGATGGACGCCTTGCACCCCTTCTGACAGAACGCCGCGGAGCTATGGGATCTTTGTCTGCAAGTCATAAGACAACGAAACGACGGAGCTCGGATGGGACAAAGTGATTCGAATTATTGTTTTCTTCATTTTTCTTCAGTCTTCATCCTAGTCATTCATCCATCTTCATCATTCTTCATCTACATCCTTATCTCTCGTGGCAGGTGCTTTCGCTCCATTGGAGTGGCTCACCTCACTTGGTCAACCTGACCAACAGCAGACCGTGGAGCGCAAGAAGGTAAGCAATGTAAGCTGAAGTCAGAACACTTTGATGAACTTTTGCTTATTTCGCCTCAACGAGTCTGAACATGTCTGAACTGTGTTTGGTAAACACGGTAAACATGCTTGCTTCATAATATGGGAACATATCTCCAAAAAGAATATTCGACATGTTTCCACCTGTGAGGCCTTGATGGCTGCTTGTGACGAGGTGCGCTTTCTTAGTTTGCGATTCGCAAAGCTCTTGAGATGTCTTAAGAGGTCTTGAGATGTCGTGATTTGTGCCGAGTCAGTGCAGAGGCACCCAAGAATGGTGTTGGTGCCAATGAGCTTGTCCAGGCGAAGGCGAAAAAGTGAAAATTGTGAAAATCATCAGGACGTTTGGCGTAGTCGGACTGCAGTAAGGCATAGTACTGCATAGTATGATGATTTGACTGCATAGCAATATTGGGATTTTTTTGGAAATTTGAGATAGTTTGAGACATTTTGAAGCATTTAAGGACTTTGACATCTTTGACCAAGCAGCTTGGTACCCAGGTGGAATCTGCAGCAGTGGCTTTGGAGGCCAGCTGTCCGGCCCAACCAAGCCGGAGTAAGCTCAGCGGAGTTTGGGATGCTCGGTGTCATGATGTCGCAAATGGTTTCTGGATGTTTCTGGATTCTGGTCCAATCGAGTCCAATCCCACTTGGGTTCTTTGGAAGTCAGAACAAGTGAAATCAAGTAAAGCTGATTTTGCTGATTTTGCTGATTTTGGCCAATGAAGAGTTCAAAGTACTTGGAATATCTTGGAATGATTTGACCATATTTGACCACTCTGGAGTGTCCAAGGATTTGCAATACTGTAGCTTGGATAGCACGGAGATTCGAAACAAAGAATAGACTTCCTGACTCTTTGGACATCCCTTTTTGCCTCTTGTTGCTCTGGTACTCTTTCCTATTCCAAGTTTTGTTTGAATTCTTGTTTGCACGTTCTTTGCATTTTTTTTCCATCTAATGAGGCAAACTATCCCATTAGCCCCATTAGCCGACCAATTGGGGGTCATTTTGCATCATCCCAAATAGGAGTGTACCCAACAACAAATATTAATTGGGGATCGTTTATTGGGTCTACCACATTAATGGGTTGGTGTCGCGGTGTTGGCCCCATTTCCAGCCAATGCCACCCAGGCACTGCGGAAGGCAGCTCCAATGGCAAAATTGGACCGTTTGTTGGTGATGTAACGCAGCTTGGCAGAAAAGACCCTTCAAAAGACCCTTCAGATCCCTTCAGCACTCACCAAGCACTCACCAAAAAACGTTTCAGAGTAGTCCAGAGTTCAGAGTCGATTGCAGCCGATTGCAGCTCATTGCAGGTTACAGGTGTGCGCAAGTATGACAAGCAGTATATCTATATTTAAGGGCTGCCGCCCCTGCCGCCGACCCCGGAAGAAGTGGCAACGAATCAAAGCAAATGGGCATAAATATTCTTCGGTGCTTCGCACTTTCAGGTCTTCCCCCTTTATCCTACGAATATTCTTGTGAAATATATTTGATAGGTTTGAATGAAATATAGTTTATCAAATAGTTTGCTCTATATCCTAATATTTTTTTTTGCCAGGGGGGCAGGGCAATACTTGAAATACAACTCGACAGGTTGATCAGGATGACAGCTTTCATATTTATATATATATCTCTCTCTCTATTATTTTTGGCCCTATTATTATACAGATAGTGTTGCGCCGCACAGGTGCATGGTTGCGCCGCACAGGTGCATGATATTTTATCAAAGTATACGGGGCCCTTGTTTTTTAGATCCCCCACTTTGTTTTTTAAACCCCTGACCTCTTTCTGCTGTTCTGCCGTTTTGCTTTTGTGCTTCTTTGTTTGTTTGTTTGTGTTTCTGCTTTTCAGCCTTTTGCTTTTGTTGCTTCTTTGCTTGTATACTTCTCTGCTTCTCTGCTTCTCTGCTTTTGTGCCTTTTGCGTTGCTTGCTTTTTGCTTTTCCTGCTTCTTTGTTCTTCATGCTTCTCTGCTTGACCTGCTTCTTTTCTTTTCTGCTTCTTTGCTTTTCTGCTTATGCCTTTCTACTTCTACTAGTACTATTCCACCTTTTCTTTTCATCAGTCATGCGTTTTTGCAGTTCTACTTTTTGTATCCGCATTGCAAATTGATAAAATTATTATATACAGGAATGATTGCAAACTGATAAAACGATGATGCACAGGAATAATTGCAAATTGAGAAAACTATGATAGAATCATTAGATGTACAGGAACAATTGCAAATTGATAAAATTATGATGCACAGGAATGATTGCAAATTGATAATTGATAAAACCTTGATGCACATAGTATAAATCCCAACGCACCAACATTCATTTTGTTACACATTCAACAAGAAAGAAGGTACTCAAAAAGTCGACTTTTTAGGGACCTCCAATTCAGGTTATGACATGAGGTTGTCACCGCAGCAACAAACAGCCTCGTTGAAAGTATAGAAATTACAAAAAAGAAGCAAAATTATCAAATGGAACCCCCCCCCCCGGGGGGGGGGGTTCCCATTTGCAAGTTTTTGGAAAGAGGTTCCCAGTGACAAGCTTGGATTGGCAGGAGCCACTGGTACTCTGATCAATCACCACATCCAAATAGTGACTATACATCTGTAAATATGTAGATGTATATATGTATGTAGAGACCATTATACGGTCAGCCCTTGTATGAAAAGAGATTGATGACACAATATAGGCAATTCACCCGAAAAAAATGAAGGACTGCAAATTGATAAGGTTATGATGCACAGGAATTATTGCAAATTGATAAAACGATGATGCACCGGAATGATTGCAATTTGATAAAATGATAATACACCGGAAGGACTGCAAATTGATCAAACGATGATGCACAGGAACGATTGCAAACTGATAAAATTATGGTGCACAGGAATGATTGCAAATTGATAAAACTACGATGCACAGGAATCATTGCGCATTGATAAAATTATGATACACAGGAATGATTGCAAATGGATAAAACTATGATACACAGGAATAATTGCAAATTGATAAAACTATGATGCACAGGAATGATTGCAAATTGACAATTGATAAAACCTTGATGCACATAGTGTAAATCCTAACGCACCAACATTCATTTTGTTACACATTCAAGAAGAAAGAAGCATGAGATTGTCACCTAAAATCAGATGAAATTTCAAACGAAAGAAGATACTCAAAAAATCGACTTTTTAGGGACCTCCAATTCAGGTTATGACATGAGGTTGTCACCGCAGCAACAAACAGCCTCGTTGAAAGTATAGAAATTACAAAAAAGAAGCAAAATTATCGAATGCCCGGGGGGGGAAGGTTCCCATTTGCAAGTTTTTGCGAAGAGGTTCCCAGTGACAAGCTTGGATTGGCAGGAGCCACTGGTACTCTGATCAATCACCACATCCAAATAGTGACTATACATCTGTAAATATGTAGATGTATATATGTATGTAGAGACCATTATACGGTCAGTCCTTGTATGAAAAGAGATTGATGACACAATATAGGCAATTCACCCGAAAAAATTGAAGGACTGCAAATTGATAAAATTATGATGCACAGGAATTATTGCAAATTGATAAAACGATGATGCACCGGAATGATTGCAATTTGATAAAATGATAATACACCGGAAGGACTGCAAATTGATCAAACGATGATGCACAGGAACGATTGCAAACTGATAAAATTATGGTGCACAGGAATGATTGCAAATTGATAAAAGTATGATGCACAGGAGTGATTGCAAATTGATCAAACGATGATGCACAGGAATGATTGCAAATTGATGCAACTACGATGTACAGGAATTTGATAAAATTATTATGTACAGGAATGATTGCAATTCGATGAAACTATGATGCACAGGAATTTTTTGTAACCCGATGAAACTATGATGTACAGGAATGATTGCAAATTGATAAAACCATGATGCAAAGGAACAATTACAAATTAATAAAACTATGATATACAGGAATGATGGCAAATTGATAAAACTATGATGCACAGGAATGATTACAAACCGATAAAACTATGATACACAGCAATCATTGCAAACTGAGAAAACGATGATACACAGGAATGATTGCAAATTGATGCAACGACGATACACAGAAATGATTGCAAATTGATAAAATTACGATCCACAGGCATGATTGCAAATTGATAACAAATTGATAAAACTATGATGGATAGGACTCATTGCAAATGGATAAAATAATGATGCACGGGAATGATTGCACATTGATAAAACTATGAGGCACAGGAATGATTGCAGACTGCAAATTGAAAAAAATATGATACGCAGAAATTATGGCAAAGTAATAAAACGATGATACACAGGAATATCGGAATACCCATAAATGAAACGCGAAATGAAACACTAAAGAAACCTTAAATAAAAACCTAAGAAACCCGAAAAAGACCTTAAACCGTAAAGAAACCCTAAATGAAACCTGAAATGAAACCCTAAAGAGACCGTAAATGAAACCTTAACTGAAAGCCGAAAAAAAATCGCATGAACGTTTGAAAACTCTCATGACAGTTCGCGATAAGAAGTCTTACATAAGACTCTAAATTAAATCTTAAATGAAACTTTAACGAATCCCTAAATGAAACCCTACATGAAACCCTACAGAAACTCTAAACGAAACTCAAAAAACATGTAAATCCTAAAGAAATCTAGAATGAAACTCGAAAGAATCCCGAAATCAAATCCTAAAGAATTCCCAAATGAAACCCTAAATTTTTGGCTTTATTCTCTCCTGTGTGTATCCTAAGCAAAACCTTAAAGACCCTAGGTGAAAGCCAAAGAAACCCTAAAGAATTCCTGAAAAGAACTCCTGATAAGAAACCCCTACATGAAACACTGGTTTGCGCCGCACAGGTGCAATGCAATGTAATGCAATGCGATGCAATGTAATGCAATTGAATGTAATGCAATGCAATGAAATGCAATGCAACGTAATGCAATGCATTGCGATGCAATGTAAGGCAATGAATGCAATGCAATGCGATGCAATGTAATGCAATGTAATGCCATGCAATGCAATGTAATGCAATGCAATGTACTGCAATGCAATGTAATGCAATGCAATGCAAGGTGCCATGTTGTCCGTCCTATGCAATGGGGATTGTTGGTGTCCAAAAAGGATATGGGAAAACTACCTGGGCTTATATATATATATATATACAGGTAGGCAGGTAGCTGGGAACGGGACAACCCAAGAACCCGAACAAACAACAATAAAGCGGAGGGGACGCCAGAACCCCAGGACAAGACAGAAGAACGCGGAGGGGACGCAAGAACCCCCAGATTAAGCAAGAGAGAGAGAGAGAGGATCTAAACGGGAAACCACAACCAGTCTTCCCGAGGTCATTTTGTGTAAGACCCCACGGCTTCCGTGGGAAATGGCCTGTATGAGAGAAACATTTATTTTTAGCCCTGCATTGCAAGAACAAGAAAAACAAACAGAATTTGGGAGCATAATTGCAAATTGATAAAACTATGATGCACAGGAATGATTGCAAATTGATAATTGATAAAACCTTGATGCACATAGTGTAAATCCTAACGCACCAACATTCATTTTGTTACACATTCAAGAAGAAAGAAGCATGAGATTGTCACCTAAAATCAGATGAAATTTCAAACGAAAGAAGATACTCAAAAAATCGACTTTTTAGGGACCTCCAATTCAGGTTATGACATGAGGTTGTCACCACAGCAACAAACAGCCTTGTTGAAAGTATAGAAATTACAAAAAAGAAGCAAAATTATCGAATGCCCGGGGGGGAAGGTTCCCATTTGCAAGTTTTTGCGAAGAGGTTCCCAGTGACAAGCTTGGATTGGCAG